GGTTCTAAAATTGCTAAGTATTTATTTAAAAAAAAGGCTTCTGAAGACTGTTGAATGCAAAGGAAGTACTGTAACAGTCTTTCTACATGAGAAAAAAAGAAATCAATGCTTCAATTCCATTATGGCCCAGTTTTCATAGAGAATAGGAAACTAATCAGGTTTTCTGGTAATAAAAACTTCATGAGAGAGATCTGCATTCACTCTGCTGCTAATGTTTTAAGTTTTTGCTTTTCTTCTTGTTTTTTTTGTTTCCTAAGCCTAGTTCTCTCATTTGATTATAGTGTAGCACTGGACTAGATGCTAACCAGCTCTCTCCAAAGAAATGCAGAGAGATGAACAAAAATTATACTGAAGACATAGCCAATGAGGCTATTAATTTGCTGTGGAATGTATGGTAAGTGCTGTGTAAACACTGGCCTTCTGGAAGAGCTAAATGAAATTGTTCTTGAAAAAGCGTGGTAATTGAGGTGGAAAAGAAATTGCTATCCTTACATGAGAAGATGTATTCAGTTGCTGATTCTGATTTCTGATTGTGTTGCTCCTACACGTGCCTTGCTTGATACATGGCAAGCCCTCATCTGATCTGAAATACAAGTTTATCTTCTACTGTAAATTACTTTTGTAAGTGAAGGATTCTAAAAGTGCACAAAGTTTTAGGTGAGTGGCAAATTTTTTTTATATTCTTGTTCATCCTAAGTTCTGATGTTCTTTTCTGAACAAGTTCTGTCATAGTCTCCTGTAGAGTTTGGGCGTTTTGCATGGAGTTCCTGTAGATCCTTATTGTGATATGGGAGATAGAGAAAATTAAATTTTGATTAGTGGACTTGGGTGCTCTGGGAATATGGGGAGTTTTGGTACTACTTCCTCCCTCTACGGGTCATCCCAAAAGTTAATATTAAATGTTTGGACAAACTGTCCCTTAATGACTGACGCACTGATACAAATCTACTTAATTATGTGAAAAAGAATGTGAATTGTTTAATTACTAGTTTGCATTGGAAACACCAGGTGAAGGAAGAGAAATGGCAACACTATTAATACAGAAATGGCTATAAATATTGAGGTGACACAAACCTGTTCTGAAAGTTCTCCTTGAATTTTGTGATGTTTCTCTTCGTTTTGTAACAGCTTCATGTTGTTATACATATTGGTCCGTACAGAATTTTGTTTTGTACTGTACAGTATTTCAATGGAGCTGCCTCTATGTCTGTCTGTATGGTATGGCTGGGGGGGTTTGGGCGTTTTGTACAGAATTTTGTTTTGTACTGTACAGTATTTCAATGGGTCTGCCTCTATGTCTATCTGTATGGTATGGCTGCTGGCTTGAGGCCTTGTTTGTAAATTGGGGTGGTTTTTTTTTTAGGGATTGGAATCTAGAACAGTACAGAAACTGCTTGCTCAGCATCTTACACAGAATACATGACCCTTTGTAACTCTGACTCAGCAATGTTTTGTGTTCATTTTTTGTTGTTTTTGTAGACATAAGTGCTTTGGAACAGGAACTATGATCATTAAATGTGCTATAAATCGCTTCTGTGTTTTGAACTTTGTGGCAACGACCGTGAACTGCCGACTTCATTGCTGAGTTTGGTACCGATAAAATTGGAGCTGGCATTGGTGCTGAGACACAATATTTTCAAAAGTAAATTTTTGAAGACCCTTGGAGCTAGTTAGGTCCCATGCTTTTTTAGTTTGAATTTGTCTGTATCAATATATTAGTTTAAAAATGGGAATAGCTGTGAAAACTTGAAGAAACGCAAATCCCACTGTTAGATAATTAAAGTAAATGTCACATTTAGCATTGATTTAATGTGCATTTCTGAGTGTTAAGAACAGTAATTTTCTGGAGTAAGCGAATATTGTTTTGAGAGGCAACAGCCCGCCCTGTTGTCAGTGGGTTTGTGGATGAAGTCTTCCATGGCTGCAGAAAGCCCTGGGCTGGCTTGTAGCCTGTGGCTGTAAGCTGCATTTCACGCTCTGGCTGGCTCTGTCCGCATGAGACTGTGCTTAAGCTCCCAAATAAACTCCCGAATACTGTGTGTGAGGAAGCAGCTGGCAGAAACCAGCTTTCCTCAAAGGTGACAAGGGTATTGCAGCTTCTCTTTCTCCATTTTATATAGAGTTGATCATAACTTCGACAACGAAGGGTAACTCTTTGACTAACGTGTAATTCTTAGGGAGGTTTTTAAAATGTGAGTAGTGGGTACATGTTACTTAAAATGTTGTTACAGGAATTTTTTCCTGGGAAAAGTGTTTTATTAATGTTTTCTGTGCGTTAGTGAATGCAACAATACTGCGGTATACATATTCAATAAAGAAGGATGTCTGGAGGCTGTGTTACATTGCATGAAGAAATTTTCCACGAATGTGGATCTGGCTATTTCAGTAGGTAAGTGGTAAAGACAGAAGATAAGGATTTAAAGATACTCTTTTTTTCTTTACTATATGAATGTAACACTGATGTCACATCCGTTACATAATGCATCTGCCGTAGTGTTACTTAAAACTTTACACTGCATATAGGACTTTGAATTCCTTTCTGAACAGCGCATCATTTGGAAGTTTACATCTCCTGTGCTTGTTTTCAGTCCAAAGGAGAATGGCTTATTGGTGGTTTCATGCGAGGAAGAATTTTATGGAAAGAAAGCTTTGGACCGAGGCCATGTTTTTCATTTTGTTTTCTGGTTTTCGTAATGAAGAGTTTAATTTGTACAGCAAAGGACGTAGTCTACCTAAAAAGAAAACCCAGACAATTCATCACTTTCAGTGTCGTTTTATTAGTAGTATTGTAACTGTAGTCTTATAATGGTCTTACAGGTGTATGTGCTCACGATATTTTTTTGGTTTTGTCCCTAGTCAGTGTACAACAGAGAAATTGAATTTTGAGTAGCTGAAATTAATACAGCTAGTCCCGTGTCTGATGTGGTACTGTCCTCACCTGTTTTATTTACAGGTTTGCCACAGAATGCCTTTTAATCTCAAACACAGCTTGTGAAAGACAGTGTCATACCATTATAACGTGATGTTGCACTAAATGTTTTTTTCCTGTGTCTGTTTCATTACTCCCGCTTTCAGGAAGATAATGCTTTCTCATTAGTACAGTGAAAGCTACTACTGGGTTTGTTAATTATCTTTGTTGTTGTTGTTTGCTGCAGCAAACTGCTTGCAGGCAGTGACAGAAGATAATCCAGATCTTCTTTCTTCATTTAATGCTTCTGCACAACAAGTACTGGAAACAGTGATGCTGTGTGCAGAAAGCACAATGAAGCATATACTTCTGAGAACACTGATAGCAGGTACGATACTCCAGGGCGTTCATTGCTTTGTGATGGTGAGCACGGCAGTAAGGACAGAAGGCTTAGTCTTCTCTGCTATAGTCTGGATGTCTGATTGTCAGAGCCTGTATAGATGGCTTATGAGGTTACTTCTGCCTTTTGGTGTTGTGTTTTGGAGTGACCAGGTATTTGCAACTAGTTTTAAAACTGTCTTAAGTGCTTGATTCTGAATTCAGTACCTGCTCAGTGCGATAACCCATTTTAAGTGTTCATTTGGTTTTCAACAGTGAAATGAGTCAGTAAAGTAGTATGGGAATCATTTTGATCTTAATAGGTGTAGATTTTTACCTCAGATTCTCTAGCTTGCATTCTTCTTTCTACCTCAAGTGCTCAGCCATGGTGATTATTCATACTGGAGTGTAATAAATCAATTTTGAGAATCCTTAGTAAATGGTTATCTCATGTGGATTTGTTATCGGTGATTATTCATACTGGAGTGTAATAAATTAATTTTGAGAATCCTTAGAAAATGGTTATCTCATGTGGATTTGTTATTGCAAGTAAAAATTGTCACCAAGGTTGCTCCACATAAATATTCCGTGTATACTTAGACGCTGAAGCTTACTTGAGCTTAAGATGTGGGCATAACATAGTTACTACAGATGAGTATATGAAATGCTAAACAGAAAAAAAAATACAAGTAGGTAGAGAAAAGACTTGAACATTCATACTGAAATATAAACACTGAGTATTTTAAGTAGTGGAGGCTGCGTCCTTACAAAATATATGGCTATTAAAGAGCTGGGAATTGAGTACTTCAATAATTTTTATATTTCAACTGTCTCATGTTTAGGCACTATCTGGAATATCAAGGATACCATTCCACCAGGCAGTCTGGGAAGCATGGTTAATGCAATCCTGAAGATTTTTTCAGAATCGTTAGCAATAGATGCTGGTGAAACTATTATTCGTATGAATGAAGCTGAAAAAAACAGGTTAAAACTTGCTGCAGAGGTAGAAACACATGAAAACATGAGTGATGTTATAGACAACTGTGTTTTGAGTGAAGATGATGACATGGAAGAAATACGGAAAGGAAAAGTCAGGAGAGAAAATGACATTTCAGATCTACTTCCAGTAAGTGTGGCTGGCTGACTCTCGGACAGCTTAGTGCATTTGGCTGAGCATCTGACTGGTCTTGACTCACCATTAGCCAGAGTAAACTACCTACAAGTGCCACTAATCCTAAGTCCCAAAATAGCTTGACTATTTTAGCTAAAACCTCAAAGATGAGCATGGAGAATTTCAGCACAATTGGTTGCAATGTGGTAAAGTTGCACAGTACATCAGGAAAGCACATTTCCATGTTTTTTTCCTCTAGCAGAAGGTGTAGGCTTATCTGACACTTCTACCTGTAGCTACTGCAGGAAGTTCTGATTTCTGTGTAAGGCAAGTGAGATTTTTAATGGTTGTAACCATTCAGTCACGAGTAGAGATGGCTCATTGGTTAACAAATGCCTTCAGAATTGTGTACATGAAAAGAATAACAGAAATACATGTTACTGTTAGGGCTTTAGCTAATGTTAGGTGATCTTTTCTGTTACATCTCTAGAGCAAGTAGTGTTTCTTGAAGGTAAAATTTGTTCTGAAACATGCAACAGAAAGATGATAGATAATGCCTCTTGTTTTTGTGGGTTTTTTTAAAGTTTTGGTGTAGGATGAGAAGAGGAAATGGCTGGATTGTATTTTTAACTGACAGCTTGGTTACTTTAAATTGCACTGAAATGTTTGACAACATTAAATTTGGTTCATGTTTTTATTTTTCAGTCTGATAAGTGGGAACTGAGAGAAGTGACAGCTTTACTGATGGCTCAGCAGACTGCTCTGGAAATCATTGTTAATATGTGCTGCAGCGAAGGTTTGTAGGAATCTCTTTCATTGCAAGTGTTGTGGTGCATTTTGTTTCTGGAATAGGTTGTGTTTAGTTTGTTGTTTGGTGATCTTAGCTTTTAAGGGTGAAGGTCCCTGATACTCTCATCTGGGGGCAGACTGGATTGTAATTTCTATTACTAATTTATGTGTGTTTTTCTCATTTAAGTGATTTCTGTTGCTGACATATTTTTTGCATGATACTACATGTGCCAACCTTTAAGAACAAACAAAAAAGCACTTGTGCTGAAGAGATACTTCCTAAAAAGTATTGCAGCAAATTCTTTGTCCAGTTAGAGTGCAGTCTGAGTGTTCATCTGATACAGTGTGGTGGTGAATCTTATTGCAGGACGGAGGTGTACATTTTTTTTAAGCAGAAAAATCTTGTAATTTTGATTTAGTTTTGGTACTACAAGCGTTACAAAAGAAGGAGGGGGGACAGCTTTTGCATGCAGCTCTAGCAACAATGCAGATTTAGGCTGTTCAGAGTTCCACCTTTATGAGATTTCTTGGAGGAGAAAGAAAGGCTGTTATTCTGGAGGGAGTAGGAAATAGGTATTCTGTGTCTTCTATGAACTCTGATACTCAGTTTTGATAGCTTTTCTCCTAATTTTCTGGAAAACAAATAACCGATTCTCAAATTCTGTTTAAAAAAAAACAAAGAACAACCAAACAAAACTAACCCCCCAAAAACCCCTCCAAAACCTGAAAACTTTAATTGCTACTACAGTTTGTAAGCCTGATGCAAAAGTAATTGTGTAGGAGATAACTTTCTAAGTACATCTTTCAGGTTCTAATAAAATCCACAGTAAAACCCAGATATTCCCGATGGTGATTTTTTTTTTTTCCTCTTACAGCGCAAGGAAATTCTGCACCTAGTATATGAAGCTCCTTTCATAACTGCATTTCTCATCTAATGAGCTGTAATTCATAATCTCTCCCCTTTAATTGGAAAATCTCTTGTGGATAAGCTGCATATTCTGCCATTCACTCAGTCTAATGTAAGGTTGATTGTGTTGTATTTCACTACAGTACTTTACTCATTCATGGGCAGACAGAAACATAGTCTGTAGAAATTAAGAGGAATCCAGAGGCAGCTGTTCATTTAATTTTCAAATTATTTGAGGACTGAAATAGCTTTAGCCATTATGCTGAGTTCGTAGAAACGCTCAGCTTGCCACAGAACTGAGGGAAATAACCAGGCTGGCAAGAGGCGTGTTTTACTGAATACTGGCCGATGTTTGGAAGAAGCAGAGTGCGCTCCCCTTAACAGGGACAGGGGAAGGAAGCCAGGAGACTCCAGCATTGCTGTCCAGTCTGTAGTTCATAGGTTACCAGCGCTGGTTAAGATGGGCTTGCCATTGGAAATGCTGCTGTATTTCCAAGAATGTTACAAGAAACCTGACCTTAGTTATGGGCTAATGTACTAGAGCTCAGTTCCTGCTCTGCCCTGGTCACTCGTTGTGAACATAGGACGACTGTTGTCTTTGTTGCTGAATTGCATGGTCAGCTCATGTAGTTACCATTTAGTTTTCAAAGCAGATTTTTGTTTTCTTTGCTTTGTAAAGATGCAGGTGGAATTTTTTTAGAAGAGGCAAGAGACTGTCTGCTTTGTTCTCATGGTTGTTGCTACTGTGAGTTGGTAAAGCATAAAAGACAGTTTTCTCATGCAGAGGCTATTAACAGCAGCCTGTTATGGCTGTAGAATTAATTGGATATTACCATAAGCAAAAGAAGATGCCCGTGTGATCAAGTTGCCACAGTCTGATGAGTTACTTTGCATTGGATAAGCAGTAGTCATCACCCCCAAATAAATTCTTAAGCTGCTGCACAGTGCAGGTGAAATGCATTCATTTAGACCTTTCTTACTCTATTTTAAGTGAATGAATTTACTTTTTGCCATGGAAGTGATGCATGGCTGTTACTGTAGTTACTACAGTACCTAGATCTCATGTGAAACTGTGTTGTCGGACAAAATTACTTGGAAGTGAACATGATACTTGTTTCATCACAGTAGTTAAATATCCTGACCTATGTATGCAGGCAGAGCTTTCACCCATCAGTGAGGACAATCAGTCCAACCTGTTGTAGACTTAGGACTTGCATAAACACCAGTGTCACACCAGTTAAAATGTAACCAGGTTCAAAACAACTTTAGATAAATCAGTGGATGTAGATATATCGGTTTAAATATAAATGATAGACTTAGCTTGTGCTTGTCGGGCTAAGTCTGCCTTTAACCATGGACAGATTATTCACTTTACGGTAGCTGTGCTACCTCAGCCACTCTTGCCATGTCTGCCCTTACAGATCTGCCAATAGAGTAAATTATGTCAGTATAAACCTAGTTCAGGTTTATAACTATAAACGTAGTTTAATTTACTTAAAATATGTTGCCTGAAATGGTTAACAGAGATGATCTGGCTTGCTTTGGCTTGTTTTGCTGTCGTCATTTCCTTTCAGCTGGCCTTGCTGTGGAGACGTTAACATCTTCATCCAACCCAGTTACTGCCCAGTCAGAGGACATCTGCCTGTGGCTTCAGTATTGCCAGAGAAAACAGTTGCCGTAAACTGATTGCAGCTAGTAAACAAGTTAAACTGGCATATTTGCATGCTTGAATCTACCTGAAAAAGTAAAATGGTAGAATCCAAGTTAAAAAAAGTAAATGCTTTATGAAATGTTTCTTCTATACCTTTTTTGATATCTTTAAGTGAAACATAGTTAATATCAGAGAATGAAGTACCTATGTATGAATAACCTCTCTCATAAAAGTACTTGTTGCTTGAGTGAATATAAAATAAATATTTTTAAAAAATAAAACAATTTAAACAAAAGTAGTATAATATTCAGAACTGTGGCTTAATGGTACCTGGTTTGTATGGATTTCATTAGAGCCCAAGAGCTTAAAGGCTCCTAAACCAGGAGGTGGAGCCAAATATAATAGAGAAGTAGGATACCTATTGCATGAGTGCTGTTACATTTACAAGTCTGTAATCTGTTCTCAGATCCTTCTGATGATGAATGGGAAGAACTCTCCAGCAGCGATGAAAGTGACTTGTTTATGGAAAACTCATACAATGAGGGGAGTGGGCTGCTAATGTCACCTCTGTGCCTCTCTGATGAGGTTAATTCAGCGTTTCTGAACAACCTCATTCCAAAGAAGGTATTGTCTTTTATTTTGTTTCCAACACACGGTCTTTCCCGTGTGCCTGATTTGTATCCCAGGTTAGGCAAACAAATTATCCCAGTCCTTCTGGAGAAAAGGAATATTTTTTTAAATCAGTTTAGCTTCACTTTTTTTGGCTGAGAGGTGGAGCATCATCACATGAGCTGCCTTGACCTAAATAATGTCTTCATATAAGTAGGAATGGAAGGTTCATGTGTTTCAGAAATCTGAGGGTTTTTTTCTTTTTTTTTTTTAACTTGGCTTTTCGAAAATACAAAGGTTATTATTCCTTGATTTGGATATGAAAAAGATTACCTGCGAAAAGAAAAGAAACTTTGAGTAGCGGCACGACTGCCAGATTTCCATGTTAGCTAAGTGAGGTGGAAGTAACATATGTCAATGGCAACATTCAAAACTGAAAAAGTGCAAGTTCCTCTTTCCCCTTGTTTTATACATAGTGTCTGAAGTACAATATATGACACGGACAAGAATTCAGGTGTTTTGCTCATTCTTATTTGAGGTTGTAAAGATGAAGTTCGTAATTTGACTCAGTTATTATGCTAGTTCAGCAGCATTGTACAATTCTGACCCAAGACATCAAGGTGCAAGATGAAAACATTCAAGACTTTTTGTACTTAATAGCAAGCAGTCCAAGATTCATGGCAAGGTCTTGTAGACTTGCAGCTGTCTGAAAATTCTGTAGTGAAATCTGTAAGAAGAAAGATCTAAATAAAAAAGAATCACAGAGGCCTAGAAAATCACCTTTTGTTCAGTACAGTTGGATACTTAAAATATGCTATGCTAAACCAAATGTATAATTGCACCATTTGAGTGATTGAGGAAGATTCTGGCATTTTTAGCAGGTCAGATGCTTGCTACCTGCAAAGCTTTTAAATATGTAGTTTGAAGTATCTGTTTGAGATTTAACTAAAATTTCAGTCTTCCCTCCAAACACACTAAAAAAAAAAAAAGCTTTATTGTTAAACCTTTCTTTTTCCCCTCCCCAGATTCTTGAAAAAACTGCTTTTCCGAACAGTGTTGCTCTAGACATCTGTATGCACAATCCGTCTTGGAAACCATTGATTACAAAGTAGGAATTTCATTGTCTCTCTTACTATTTTTCATGTATGTTCAGTTGTTTTAGAACTCTTAGAAGGATTGTCCATCTTTGGGTTACTTTTAAGATCTGGACAATGGCAGATCTGATATGTGATTTTTAATAAAGAGATATGACTGTTTCTGTAAACTGCACACCGGATCACAGCCTTATTTAATTCAAGATTCTTCTTTGTATTTTGACATCTGTTTTCAAAGAGATCTGCTAAGTGCATTTTTTGTTTGTTTGTTTCAGACTGAATGCAGTGCAGTGTAGAGCTTTAACATGTCTTCATAGCATTTTGTTAGTGTCAGATGTGGATTGTCTTGGAGGAGCTTCAGCACTTCAGTCCCTTGCACAACATCTCTCACAGCTAGTCTTTTCTAAAACGGGTAAGATGTTTAGTAAAGGGAGCTTGCTGACCCCCTTTGCTGATTGTATAGATCTAAGGTAGCCATGTACATTGTTAAGTTGTAATGCCATTTTATTACTAATTTTATCCATTTGGTCTTTCAAAATAAGGATACTGAATATTGGAAATGTACTGACAAAACAGTGTATCCTGATAAGATGTGTTTATCCAAATTGCATCTTGAGCAAGTATGCTCCTAATGCAAGAATGTGCTTTGCATCTGTGTATGCACGCAGAAAGTCACCAAGTTAGTGCATGAATCCTGCCTTGCTGTGAGAGCAGAACTGTTCGCTTGATCATATTTGTGATAATTGCAGTTTTACATCAATCAGACAAGCCATGAAGAAGATGGGACTTTTTCTTTTTAAATGTACTAACTAGCCTAAGTAGACATGTGAAAGAAAGGGTATCTAGCGCAGTCTTTCACATCATTTTTTTCTAGGAATCTTACGAAATTACGGCAAAGGTGGTTGTTGCAAAAATCTCCAGAATGCACATGCTTATTACAGTAGGAAAGAGAGCAGCCACCTTGTCTCCAGGACATGCTTTATGCGTATGATTGCATAGCTTTATTGAAAATACGTTTGTAGTAAGAAAATGTGCAAAGTTTTTATGACTAAATATTAAAGCTGCTCAACTTCCTGTTATGGTAGTGGTTCAGTTTCAATGAAGGCGGCAATAAATTTCATTTTTCTAAAAATACTGGTTTAGAATATCAGGTATATCCTGGTAAACACTAGAATGTATCCACTGTGGTTCCTCCATGGGACATTATTTCATAGAGAAACCATAGATGGTTTCCCCATGTATCTGCTAGTATCGGTATTGGATGGTCTAGTGTAGATAGGCAGCAGTTAGCATTTCCAGCTACCTTCTGTAATCTTATACATCAGATCAGCATCATTCTAGTAATATCGTTGGACATTTACACTGTGATCTCTCTGTTACTGACACTAGAGAGGCTGAACTGAGATTTAAAAAAAGGCAACTCCCCTGATTCCAAGCTAATGATCTGATTCCCTCATAAGCTGCTTCATTCAGACTATTCTGATAATCTGTTTTTGTTTTAAGGTCAGTGATGATGGCTTTTCAAAAAATAAGAGATTATTCATAGAGGCTGGAAAAACCTGCCAGTTCTCAAAATTATCAGAAAACATTTTTCCTAAGACAGATCTGTTGAAGTCTACCATATGCATAGCTTTGTCATTTCTTGTCTCTTAGAAAACTGAGCTTCTCAAGCTTCTTCCTTTCCTTCAAGTGCCTTCATTTGTAGCCACAAATGCAGTGTATGTAGTTCTTAATCACTGTAGTGTATAGTATGACACTGCACTAATGCTTGAAAATGCATCTGCCTACAAAACACACTTTTTTCTCAATATCATTAAAAGCATGTGATCAGTCTATGGGAACATTATTACTGAGAGTGTAGTGCTTGAAAAACTAAAATGCAGGAAATGAAAGTAAATATGAAGACATATGCAAGGAAGTTCACATAAAATATTTCTCTTGCTTGAAGAGCAGGACTTCCAAGATTTCAGGGTGTATATGTTATGCTTTGCAATAGTCATAAAGTTCTTAGATGAAACTGGAGGAGTGGCTAGCTGGAGAGAGAGAGTGCTAATAAATTAGTTTAATGGCTTAGGTCCATTTTTGTTAACATTTTTTTTTTAATAGTTAAATGCTATGTAATGGAAACTGCCAGATGTGGCTAGAAGGAATTCTATGATTTACAGGGTGAAAAAGAGGCATAAAGGTCTAGTTGCTTACATGGGAAAGGAGGAGTTATGCATGAAATAATCAAGAGGTTCTACATCTGGAGTGGTCCAGATAATAAGAACACATTAGAGGAAAATAAAAAGCTTCAATAAATGCAGAACATGCATTGAAGATGATGGCTGGTATTGATGAATTTGTAGTTAAACAAGAATAATGCAGTGTTTGAGTCATACATTTCTGAAACGTTATTAAACCACTGGAAAATATGCTCTTTATATGAATTGGAAAGAGTCCAGTGTTCTGGGTGTCTAGAAAGCCTGCTTAGAAGACAGAAGAAAGGAGTTAAAGTACACAGCTTCTGTAGTTTTCTCAGTTCCTGTATTATGGCCTCCATGTGATACCAGTTTTCAAGCTTCTGTTCTGATGGTAGTGGTTTGTACCATACGTTAGGTCACACAAGTGCCTTAACCAGGGATGTGCCTGAAAATGAGGACCAACTGTCGTCTAACCTCCAGATACAATTAATATTGAATTCAAACAAATCACTATGGTTACAAGCTACAAAGACCAGTCTCTGAAAACCTAGCTCTTCCTGTTTGTGGCAGTACCTGGAGGAACAATTAAGGGATTAAGGAATTTGTATTTCTTTGCTTCTTGTATCCCTCGTCTTACTGCTTAACGTTTGGCTCTGGGTTCAATTCTTTGACAGAACTCCCTACAGACATAGAATTCCTGGAAGCCATAACCAGCGCTTTAAGGGCTCTCCTACAAACAATGGCATCAAAGAACATCTCCCAGGTAAAAGCTTTCAAACTCAAATGCTCTAGTAGGTTCAAATTCATGTGAGGTTGTGCTGGAAGGTTTTTTGAAACGAAACCATTTAAATGGAGTGCTAAATTTCAGCAACTGTGAACACTGAAAGAACATATTTAATAGCATTCGCTCTTCGTATTTTTCATGGACCTTACACGAATACTCTTTTACATCTTTTTATATTTTTATATAGCAATAAGCCACAGGTGGTATGTTTAGGAGATGGATATAATGACAAGCATTTAGTAAATTAGCGCCTAGAAATGTGGATTCTTTATTTCTTTATGTCATCTAGTTGAAACTGGTTGTCCTTCTAGAATCTTGGTTGGACACAAATTAGTGAGCTAAATATAGGAATGAAGCAAATAGTTTGTTATACAAGACTTAATACTAGATGGTCTGCTAGTCCTTTCTGGCTTTAAACTGAAAAATGAGCTTCTATACTGTAAGTTTTAATGAGTTGGAAATAGCTATTGAGCTAGGTAAATTTGTGAAGAACGCTTTGGGCTGAGAACTCTTTCCTTCAGCTTCATGACAGCCTTGGTTATGTTCTGGAAGACACACCTTAAGAAGTTGAAAGGGAGAATTTAACTGTTTTCTTGCTAATTATGTTTTCAGAATTCATGTAGCTTTCATAATACAGGACTCTTTCTTTCTCTGTTATAAATTTGCCTGTGTTGTGTAAAAGCAAAGGATCGGTCCTATTTGAAAATTTTCATGAAAATGTAAATATGTCTTTTTTTTTTTTTTTTTCCCCCTGCCCTGTGCTAAACAGTGTATGACTCCTGAGCAGCTGCTGACTTTATGTGAAGCTGGTATTCACAGCAGCAATACCAGTGTTAGAGTGAACGTAGTGAGCATCCTTGGAATTTCTGGCAGTGTCCTGGCAAAAGGACAAGATACAGCTGAAACACTAAAGGTGAAAAACCAAACTTTGCATTGCAAGCCTAAAACAGTTTTGCTACTACTTTCAATTTTCTTAAGCATTGCTGGAAAAATCAATTTTTCTCTCTTATTTCAGATGATTGGAAAATTTCTTCTTGAGGTTGCTATGAAGGAATCTTCTCTTGTTGTAGCAGGGGAAGCCTTGGATGCACTTTTTGATGTATTTGCAGATGGCAAAGAAACAGAAAAGGCATCGGTACAGATCAGGTTGCTTCCAGCACTGAAAGAATTTCAGCCAGTGTTCAAAATGAGGGTAGGCATCCAATGCAGCCAGCTCAGGGTCTCAACACACAGTGTGGGTTAAAGCTTTAAGATTTGGGCTACTAGAAAATACAATTAAGCAGGAATATATGGCTTTATATGATGACCAAAAAAACTCAACCAACAAATAATTGAATTCTTGATATTCCGCTTTAGAGGAAAGCAAATACACTTAACCTTGCAGTTTGTGGAACCGTCAAGGTTAAAGTGCAGCATCTGCATTGCAACATCTACATTCCACCATCAGCATTATTGATGTCCAAATCACTGTATTGTTCTGAAGGCCTTGTAAAAAAAAAAAAAATTCTGCAAGTGTCTCTGGAGGAGAACAGCTAAATTGGTGGGAGAGAAGTCCCTTCTGAAGTTACATTGACATCTTTTGTTTTTAACTTGCTGTAGTTGCAGGTGGACATTTTTGTTCTGTTGGTTAATTAAAATAGATCATGTATTCTGTATTTTCAAGAATCACAAGGCCAAAATTCTAAACTGTAATTTTAGGTACCTCCTTCTCTTAAGTAGAGAATCACCTTCAATATTTTGCTTCATTAGTCAGATGAGGCCTGAGGAGTGACTTTCATAGTCTTAAAGCTGAGCATTATACACACAAAATACATACGTGACAGTGCTACAGTTGTTTGGTTAGTTAAATGTGCAAGATCTTTCATATAAAAGCTACAGAAAATAAGTCTATGTTTCAGATTTGAGTGAAATAGCATGCCAATAGTAGTCTAGTTTTAGGCAGAGATGTATTCTAGTAAGTTGACTTACTGAAATAATTGCTAGCTATGCATGTGTACACGTGAACATGTTGGAGTTCTCAAAAAGCATGGGTAGCGTGTCTTGATAGAAGACATATAGAATTACTGTAAACTTTATGTGATCTAATAGGAGAAACTTCTTCATTAGTAAAGTATGTATTTTTTGGTTTTACAGATACGAAAAGAAGGCAAAGGACAATATAGTACAGATCAACTGTGTGTTCTTGACAATGTGAAGATGAATTTGAGAAGATTTATTGCTTATCAGGAGACACTAGGGAAAACCCCAACTTGAAACATCGAGGAACTTTAAACTAAGGTTTCCCTTATTGAATAATGTTTTTCAAAAATATAACCATTTTGAACTTCTAAAATTTATTGAGCAGAGCAGTTTTGCTTTCATGTTAATACTGCATTTTTTATGTTCAGTATTTTTATACTTCTGGGTTGATGCAATATGAAAGTCACATCAGTGTAAAAAAACATAGCATACTTTGAGATTAAGTGTTAACAGTGATAAGAATGTGCTCTTGCAGTCCTGAGGTCTGTACAGAGCACCACTGTCATTGTTTAGAAATCCTCACGTATCTTGGTGGAAAACTACAATTGCATGAAAAAGTAATTTAGAGAGTATTCTCAGTTATGTGCCAGATCAAGAAAAAAAAATTCAAAAGCTCAAGATACTTTTCAGGGAATCAAGCAGGGGCAGAATGTTCATATTTGCTATTTGCTCTTACCTATTTCTAGAATTGCACAGGCACTTATGGCAAACTTCCCAAGAGAAGCATGTGACAAGTGTGTAGATTACTGTCAGCTCTTGGATGTGTTACTTCATGAGGTTTATTGAAGAGAAAACGGTTTCAGATTCATTTATGATAAATTCAGTATGATAGCTTTTTGCTCTGGAAATCAATGTAAGAGGATCCTACACTTACATGCAGCCTCTGTTTTCACTTTATTTTGATTGATATTTCTGAAAATCAAGTCTCCTGATTTACTTTATTCCTTGTAATTCCACATCAGGATAAATTTGAATTCAGGGAAGTAGTAAACCTAATAAAAAGTATTTTTTTTATGCTGAGGTATTATCTAACTTTATAATGGCTTAAAATATCTTTTTTCAAATATTTTTAATAGAGATTTTTAAGCTGTAAAATACAGAAACTATTTTTAAAAAATGTCACTGATTCGTGAAGATTGTATGTGCACTTGCATGTATCGGAAGCTTTGGTTTTGTTTCTGTGAAGAGATCCTCTCATACACATTTTTTTAAGGAAAAAAACCCACAACCAAACACAAAAGCATTTTGTTATGCTGATTTTTGAAATGGGAGGTTTTTCCCCCCTCTTCTCTTAACATGCTGCCTTAGCACAGTCATCTAGTTTTTGACAAAATTTTGCCCATGGTGTTAGGCATGGAACTACAAAGACCAAATTTGCTTGGTTTGTTAGATTTCAGTCTCTTAGATTGGGAAGCAGACTCAGGAACCGACCAGATAACTTGCAAATGACTGACTTTATGAAATCCTGACATATGGTATTTTGTCAAATACAAGAGAAAGCGGAAAAATTAGTTTAAGCAACTATACCGCCTGGAAGTCCTGTTAATGCTGTTACTTTACAGGAGTTGGATGAAATGTGTGATGTGATGTGATGCTTGCTAATCAAATGAGTGAGTGAGAGTGTGGGATCGGGAGGGTTCAAGGGCCATTGAGCCTGCTCTGGAGAAGTCCAGAAGTCATCATGGGGAGCACGGAGCAGTTGAAAGGTTATCCTGGGATTTGGCAGCGGCAAGCAGCGAAGGTGGCTGAAATGTAACAGCTGAGGACAGAGTAGATAGGTGGATTGTTGCATAAGACTGCACAGTGCTTGGATTTTAATCCTAGTGTTAGTTATACTTACTGTACACTGAGGATAGTATAATATTAGCCTGATAAAAGATACTAATATTTGTTTGGAGCACTTACAAGGACTTTCACACAGAAAGTTCTGCTTTCATTTTGTGGGTGCTACATTGAATTGCAGGATGATCTAGGTTGGAAGGGATCTCTGGAGGTCTCTGTCCAGTCCCCTGCTCAAAGCAGGACTTACTTTGAAGTCAGGTAAGTTGTGCTAGCCTTTGAGCATCTCCAAGGATGGGAATCCCACAACTCTGGGCAGCCTTTTCCAGTGCTTGACCGCCCTCGCTGTGAACACTTTTTTTTTTCTTCTTGTACCTAGTAGGACTTCCCCTGCTGCAAAATGCGCCCCTTGTCCCTTGACTGCACACTGTCAACAAGAGCCTGGCTCCATCTCCTCTTACAACCCCTGTTGGGTGGTTGAAAGCAACAATTATATTCCCCTCTTCTCCAGGCTGAATAAACCCAGCTCCCTCAGGCCTTTCTCATACATCGTGTGCTCCAGTCCTCTGACCATCTTGGTGGCCTTCTGCTTGACCTGGCTTACTGTGTCTTGTACTGGGAGGCCCAAAACTGGACATAGTACTGCAGTTGTGATCTCATGAATGCTGAATAGAGGGAAGCGATCAGTTTTCTTGACCTGCTGGCCATCCTTCTGCCAGTGCAGCCTGTTATTTGTTAGCCATCATCACTGCAAGGGTGCACCGCTGACTTCCCTTCAACTTATTGTCCACCGGGACCCTTAGGTCCTTCTCTCCAAAGCTGCTCTTTGGTCATTCAGTCAAGAACCTGCTCTGTTTCATGTGATTACTCTGTCCCAAGTGTAGGACTTTGCATTTTACATCATGTGTAGCGACAGTCAGAATCTGGTCATGGGGACTGTTAGAACAATGAAGTATGTTATTGTTTGTTTAGTTTTTTTATTTTAGGTTACTAATGAGAAGAAACGTTTCATCTTCAAATACCGATCTGAAAGTTGCAGGTAAATATATAGAAGATAGGGCATCCACTAGAAAACCTGGTTTTCTTAATGTAATCTATCAGACTCTGTTTATTTCCTTCAAGTGAAAATCATAGAATCATAGAATGGTTTGGGATGGAGGGGATCTTAAAGACCATATCATTCCAACCCCCCCTGCCATGGGCAGGGACAACTTCCACTAGACCAGGTTGATCAAAGCCCCATCCAACCTGGCCTTGAACACTTCCAGGGATGGGGCATCCACAGCTTCTCTGGGCAACCTATTCCAGTTCCTCACCATCCTTACTCTAAAAAATTTCACTGCTTGAGTGGGAATTTTCCATTTTATGTCCATAGTGATCAGACGGATTAGATCAGAATATAAACTGGGAAACTGGATACCAGGCTAACTAAGATTAGGGAACAAAAAAACATGAAGAGAAGAAGAAATCTCACTCTCAGGACAGAATGTCTTGGCTAGTAAAAC